TGTTAATTGACGGTTCTTACCTTGAACATTAAGCGACTCAAATCGATAATGTGTAATAAAATAAAAAAGGCAGAGTAGATAATAGGTGTATTTTATGCATAACATAAGAGGGAAAGCCATTGGTAAGGTAAAGTTTTCGTGTGAAAGTTAATGATAATGTAAATAAAATGAATTATTGTTGAAATGAAGCCATTAGAGGAGAAATTATACTTGTCACTTACTGAGGATAAAAAATTATTAAATATTTCCATTTTTTAAATCTATTGTTAGAGGCTAAAAATTAGCCATAGTTGTGCGATTTTTCTATATTACTAAATATTTTTTTTTCATTTCATTTGTTAAATGAATACATAGTAACTAGTTGATGGTTTTAGTCGGGAAAAAGATGAGAATTTTTCAAGAGCATAAAATGGATTTGTAAAACTGTTCAAAACTGAATTGTGCTATATTACACTAGACTAATTTTTGGAACTTTCTGTTGCGGATTTTTGGGATTGTCTTGGGTTTGGTTGGTTTGAACTGGTTCGGAATTTTGGATTTGATGCGGTGGAATGGGATTTCCTTTAAACGTTATAAACCAAAGAATTTCTTAAAATTATTATTAACAAAATGTAGTGAATAATATATGAGTCGAAACGAAATGAGAAGAGTTAAGATCAGCCAAATGAGGAGCTACACCAGCTGATGTAGTTTGAGTCAAGCTGAAATTGACTTCGGACAATGCTATCGGAGATAATAATGATAATACAATACTTTACAAAATGAATAATACGAACTCCAATGATTTTTTACGGGGCTTATATATATTCCAGACAAAGTGAAATATAATCTCTTGGCTCTTGATAATCTCTAGAAATGTGATATTCTTATGATAATGCCGCCTAAATTGTCCAAATATATACAAGGATCAAATAAGTTTCAATTATTGGGAAACAGTATGATTATATGAACATAACTATAATTCTCTTGAAGTTTACTAATAATATGATACATATCGTATAACTGTTAAAATAATTTTATATATTTTACTGACAAATATTTAAGGGAACAATCAGATATAAAGCAGTTTTCATGATGGGAAAGTATTGCTTTCAGGAAACATTGAAAGATTCGTTTACACTGATTACAAGTAATGATTCACTAAGGAATTTTCATGAGCATCGACGAGAATCATTTTATTTATTTAGAGATATTGTTTTCAGTTAGAGATTAATTTTGAGAGTTTTGGATGGAATTTCGAGTTTGTACTCGACACTTTCTTGCTGTACTAAAATTTGATATTTAGAAAAGAAAAGAGTTTTTTTAACTGCGCGGTTTGACAATTTTGCTGAAGAATCAGGAATTATTGGTTGACGTGACTTTTGTGGAATTTTTTTCCTTTCTCTTAATTATCTAAAGAGAATAAAATATTTTTAGATTTTAATTGCATTAGCTTATGCAATTAGAATAATTTTTAGATTGCGAAACTTATAAGATACATATATCGGTATATAATATGTTATTCTTGCAGGTTTATCACAAGATATCAAGTGCCCGTTCTGCAAGAAAACGGTACCTTCTGATGAAGCTGAAGTTCATCTAGTAATGTGTCTAACACGTCCTAAGATAACATATAATGGTATGTATCTATTCATTTATTTGATGTTCTTTAGTAGACAGATTTAATTTGGTGCTGTGCATCCTTTTCGACAGTTATTTTGCGTTTCATTTTATAAGTACTTCTTCCTCATTTATTGCACTTAATAAATGAGGAAGAAGTTCATTTCATTTATCCATAACGAGGATAAATCGTTTTCGAATTTTAGAAGATGAATTAAGAGAAGACAAGGGAGAATGTTCGATATGTCTTGAAGAAATGTCTAGTGGTGATCGAATTGCACGTCTTCCTTGCTTATGTATCTATCATAAAAGGTAGTCATGCTTTTTATTTGAGATTAGTTATCTTAGCGAAATAGATTAGTACTACTAGAAATTGCTGAAAGTTCAATGAATACATTGTCATAAAGTACAGGTAGTTTCCCATTTTCTATTCTGTATGGAAACAAAATCAGCGCACTAATAGAAGTTACGATTCATAGTTAGAAATTGACTTTAAATTTATCAGAAATTTGTCATCAACATAGTTTCTTTCGTTCTTTTTTAATTTTTTCACGACAGGACTGTTATGACAAGAAGATTCGTGCTATTTTTATTTCAGCTGTATCGATGAATGGTTTAAGCGCAAGAATTGTTGTCCTGAGCATCCAGGTTATGACTAATGCGGAATATTTTGCTTTGCACTGTTCGACTTACTATTCATT